AAAAAAAAAAAAAAAAAGAAGTGTATTTGAGCTGGGTGCAGTGGCTCAAGCCTGTAATCCCAGCACTTTGGGAGGCTGAGGCAGGCTGATGATCACCTGTGGTCGGGAGTTGGAGATCAGCCTGGCCAACATGGTGAAACTCCATCTCTACTAAAGATACTAAAAATACAAAAATTACAGGTGTGGTGGTGCACACCTGTAATCCCAGCTACTTGGGAGGCCAAGGCAGGAGAATCTTGAACCTGAGACTCGGAGGTTGCAGTGAGCAGAGATTGCACCACTGCACCCCAGCCTGGGCAACAAGAGCAAAAACTGTCCAAAAATAAATAAATAGTGCTCGCTTTGGCAGCACATATACTAAAAATTGGAACGATACAGAGATTAGCATGGCACCTGCGCAAGGATGACACGCAAATTCGTGAAGTGTTCCATATTTTTTCCTTTTTAATTAAAAAAAATTTTTTAAAAAGGAAATAAATAAGGAGAAAGGAGGAGGAGAGTATCAGTAGCATTTGAAGGTCAGAGTGTATTCATGAATCAGAGGGACCGGGTATAGCATTCAGGGGGCCCACACGTGGCTCAGAGATTGAGGAATACACCTACAGGCCAAGTAAGTTGGACTCAAAGGTGCTAAGGGCTCAGGATGGTGCACCTGTTGGCTGGGTGTGTTAACATGAAAATGCTGGTGCCCCAAAGTTGCTAAGTAGGACAGGCTGAGGCAGGCACACACACACAAAAGCCAGGGGAGCCAGGGCACAGTTCCACCAGGGCTGGGGACAGGGTGGAGACCTCAGGTTGGGGAATACACACAATGAGCAGCCAGAAGACGTCCACTCCTCCCACTTCGGGTCTCCACCCCTAAGACCCCTCGGAAATCAAACAGAGGTGAAGGGGTGCAGGCGTGGAGAACTGCAGGCGTGATGATCAGGGGATCTTGGCGCTGCTGTTATGGCTTCTGGTGCTGGCGCTGGCATGGTGGGGGTAGGTGGGTGCGGCGCTCAGATGCAGGGGTCCCTACCTCCCCGGCCCAGGCCGCTCCCATTGCTGGGAAACTTGCTGCTGCAGTCTGGAGGCCTGGACCGGGCACTCCTGGAGGTAACCCCACAGAAATGGGGGAACAGAATTCTGAATTCTTGGAGGCAGGGCTGGGGACTAGAACAACTCCTGAATGAAGACAGCTGAGGGCTTGTCCTCTATGATCCTGAGGAAGGACAGGAAGGATGAGTGCCCCGGACTCCTGAGTTCTAGGAAAGGAGCCTAGCAAGCTTGGGACCAGGACACTGGGTCGAAAGGGAGGAGCCCAGAGCAGGAAATCAGGTTGTGGGAAGAGGAAGCAGAGCAGGTCTGTTCTCCTGGTTCAAGGCGGGGAGGCCGAGTACTGAGGGTCCAGGAGTCCAGCTCTGAGGGTGCAGGAGGGTGGGAAGTAGGACTTCTCGGTCCCACGGGAAGCAGGAAGAGGGGGCCTGGACTCCTCTAAGTCTCAGGGAGGAAGGAGCTGGGGATCTGAACTCCTGACCCTGAGGAATGAGGGGCTGGCGCGAGGGGGAACTCCTGGGTCTGAAGGAAGAGGGAGGTGGGGGCGAGGGCTCGGATGAGGAACCCGATGGGCACCTGCTGAGCACCGGCCGCTGGTGCTCTCCGGCCGCTGGGGCCCGGTGCTCGCAGTGTGGCTGGGCCCGCGCTCTGCAGTGGCGCTGTGTGTGCGGCTCTGCAGCGCAGCGGGACGCGTTGGTGCTACCGGCCGATGCCTTGTCCGGCCGCAGGTCCATGGCCATCTTCGAACCCGTCACACGAGTTAACGGTGAGGCCCGGGCGCTGGACGTCCTGGCTGGGATGCTCCAGGATGGGCCCCTAAAGGTAGAGGTGGGAAAATGGAGGCAGGGCCTGACAGAGACTCCAGCCCACCAGGTGCCCACCGCCAAGAGAGGGCGGGGAGGCGCTAAAGCAGGTTCGAACCCAGCTTCACCCCGCAGCCGAGAAGAGAGGAGAGCCTTCGGGTACAGGTCAGGGATCGAGACCAGCAAAGGAGGGACCAGCGTATGGATACGGCACTTAGCGGTCTGGTAAAGCAAAGCGAAGGAGGGCGGCCGCAGGGGTCGGAGGCCCAGAAAAGGATGTAGCTAGTGACCCGGCACTTCCTGGATGGGGCGTGGCCAACTCCTGGGCCCGCCTCTTTTCCTGTCACCCTGGCAGGAATCTTGTTTTCTAACAGGACGCGCTGGCGGACACTGCGCAATTTTGCACTTGGAGCGCTGGATTTCGGATTGGGTACACGGAGCATCGAGGCGCGCGTCCTGGAGGCGGCGGCTGGTCTGCTTCAAGCCACCATTGGTGCGGCCTGGCCGGGAAAGCAGAAGGGCCTGGTGTGGGTGTGGCCCTTGGACTGCCAAGGTGGGGCCCGTGGAAGGTGTGTAGCTTTAAGCAAGCCAGTAAGCCCAGGGAGCTGGCTGGGGGCCGGACCACACGTTAGGACCACCGTCCTGTTCCCACCCCCGGGAGCCGGGCTTGACCCCATGGGCAACTGGATAATGCTGTATTCAATGTTATCTGTTCTTGTCTTCAGGAACCACTATGGTTACGGGGACCCCGAGTTTCTGATGCTCTTGAACCTCTTCAGTGACACCTTCCACATCATGAGTTCCAGACGGGGCCACGTGAGAGGGCTGGCCACAGTCTCTCCCTTTTGAGTCCAGCCTTATGCCAAATCACGAGTACGCAGACCTACCTACAGTGGATCGTTAGAGTGGGACAGTGAGATTCTTGGAATGGAAGAGTTCTAGAAACTCCAGTATCAAAGTCCTGGTCCAATCTCCCTAGTCTAAGGAAACTAAGGCCTATTGGCTTCGTCCAGGGCCCTTGTTGAGACCCTGTCTCTCCAGATGATTTTTCCCGTCTCTCATGGACTGGCTCCCTGGCCGTACCTCCTAATCTCCTGAAACTTTGGAGCTGCAGGTCTTCATCTCTCAGCAAATCCAGCGACACCAGATGTGGCAGCCGGTGGAGACTCGCGATTTCATCGATTGCTTCCTCGACCAGATGGCTAAGGTATATGTGGATCCCAGCTCCCTAAACTCTGTCCATACTGCCCACCAAGTGCCTAGCACACGACAGTGTGTCTCCTCTGCCCACAGCAGCAACAGGATCCGGGAGGAGACGTTGGTAATTACCCCCTTTTTTTTTTTGGCAGCACCGAGACCACGAGCACCACCCTGCACTATGGGCTCCTTAATCTACTTAAGTACCCAGAGGTAGCAGGTTTTCGAGCTGGAGAGACCCAGAATGGGAGGCTGTGGTTTGGGGATGGCTGGAGGGTCCCAAAGTACGCAGCTCACAACCACCCCTGGCCCCCCAAAAAGGTGCATTGGAGCTGGACACCGTGGCAAGGCGGCCGCGCACCCCAAGCCAGGATGACCACGTGCACCTGCCCTACACCAATAGAGTGCTGCTTGAGATCCAGCGCTTCATCAGCGTGGTGCCACCGCGCGCCCTCATTCGCGACACCTACCTGCGAGACCACTCTGGGGAGCCCACCGACTCTGGGGATCCTGTTCGGGGCCCGGGTGCACAAGCGTGTATTCCGAGATCAGCCAGAACGGGAGGGCGTGCACTGTGCCGACTGAAGCAGTTATCCCTGGAGCAGGAAGGAAGGCCCACCTTCCCTTAGCCTTTTTTTTTTTTTTTAAGACAGTCTCTGTTGCCCAGGCTGGAGTACAGTGGTGCAATCTCAGCTCACTGCCACCTCCGCCTCCAGAGTTCAAGCGATCCTCCTGCCTCAGGCTCCTGAGTAGCTGGGATTACAGGCACCTGCCACCATGGCTGGCTAATTTTTGTATTTTTAATAGAGATGGGGTTTCACCATGTTGGCCAGGCTGGTCTCAAACTTCTGACCTCAAATGATCCACCCTCCTCAGCCAGAGTACTGGGATTACAGGCGTGTTATCCACTCGTCTATTCGCTGGGGCTTTTAAAAAGGGTCTTGGATGGAGGAGGTGTACGTGCTCACCAAGTCCACAGGTAACCTGAGTTGCACATACCCCCAGGGCACCTTTGATTCCCCTGCTTGTGACTATGCACCAGGACCCACTCAATTCAAGAACCCAGACTGCTTCAACCCTACCAACTTCCTGGACGACAAGGGCAAGTTCCAGGGCAATGATGCTTTCATGCCCTCAGGTGCCAGGAGAGGAAGGGGACCAGCCTGGACTGGCTCAGGGGTACATGGTGATCATTATGCACCCGTGTACCCGGGAAAGCAAAGGTACCTGGGCACAGGCCTGGCCCACTCAGAGATCTTCCTCTTCCTTACCGCCATCTTACACAGGTTCTGCCTGCTCCCTGTGGTAAACCCTAGCTCCAACAACCTCGCCTGCAGTGCACTGGCCTGAGCAATGTCCCCCAGGCTTCCAGCTCCAACTAGTGGCCTGCTGAGGTCGGGCTCCACTATGGCGGGCTTGCTGGCCCTCAAACCTCCGTAACCTCCCTGGTCAATAAAGGCCCTAAATTGCAGATGGAGTCAGATGTGTGCAGCTCTGAGGTAAACTTTTATTTCTTGGCTGATAGGACTTCCACACCCATGCTCCTCCTGGCACCTTCTACTCTGCCCAAGCAGTGGCAGCCCAGTCGCAAAGGTGCCTGCCATGGCCACAGGGGTTGGGGAGTCACTTCACATTCCAGGCTGGACGAGTGAGAGGGCTTGGGGGTACTCCCCCCACACCATTGCCAGCAAGAGGCCATGACTCACCGCAACCCCAAATCCTGCCTCCTGGTGGGAAGTGACAATGCCTCCTCCCAGCTCTCCACACCTAATGGGGTCATGACCAGACAGGGTAGGACCCAGGCCCCCAGCCTCAGTTGGTAATGGTGGCCTCCAAGGCTGCCCCCGGTCCCGGTCACAACCCCAGCCCCCATCATGGGGCAGCAGAGGTCTCTTCTGCTCCTTGGTCCTCAGCAACAGACAGAGCCTTCCACGCCAGGCAGGACAGAGGCAGAGTCAGAAGCAGCAGCGGTGGCAGGGAAGGAGCGGCCAGCACGAGCGCAGGGCTCTCCTGAAGTCAGGGCAAGCTGTCTGCCATGCGGCTCTGGTACCCGGCCACTAGGTGGGCGTAGCCGGCTGAGATACAGGTACTTGGACACCTTTCTGTCCTGATGCTGGGGGTGAGAGGGGACAGGAGATGGTGAGTCATCAGGGAACGGACGAAAAAGCCAAGGGAAACCTGGGGAGATGAAGAGAGGACGAGGAAGAAATGGGGCTCCTGCTGGGGTACCAGGAGAGTGGGGTGTCTAAGGAAGGTGGGCAGAGATGAGGAAAAGTGAGTAGTGGGATTTAACGAGAGGCTGAGGGGGATGGGGTGGCGTGAGGCCCAACAGGACCCACGGAATAGGAAGGACTGGAGGGAGGGAAGCAGATACCTAGCTGATACTTGTCTTTGGCTGCTGCCCGCTCCTTGGCATCAAAATACCAGACAGTGATGGCGTACCTGGGGACCAGGGTGGTTGGACATCAGTTTTCTGCAATTCCAGCTACCATCTCCACACAGATGGTAGGAAGCCATCCTTTTGAGCCACCTGGTTCTGCTCCCACCTAGGCCCCTTCTCAGTACACTTCATCACTCCCTAGTCACTCTGGGGCTCCGGAGGGACACCATCACAAGGGGAGCAGCTGGATGCATCCCCAGAAGTACAGGTCATACCTGGTGGCATACGCTGGCTTCACCTCGTGGGGGTTCCGCCGGTCAGACCAGAAAATGAGCAACCGGTCAAAGAGTGGCTCGATGTTGGCTACCACCGGCCGGCCCTCAGGGAAGATCTGCAGCAGGCCTCCATGCACCTGGGGGCGGGCCAGAGGATGAGGCTGGCTTGTCCCACCCAGAGCCGCTACCTCCCACGGTGCCCTGGGAGCCCACCAGAGGGCGCAGCGTCTGCCCACATCACTCCCTCCCACTACTCAGGCTCTCAAAATGAATGACTACCCAGAGTCTGCATCACCATGGAGATGGGCAGGAAGCTACTAAAGACAGGAAAAGGGGGAAAGTGTTCATTACAAGGCCGGGTGGGGCTGGGCAGACAGCACCATTCCCGGAAAGAGGGGAGTTCCCACCACACAGTCAGCTAGAGAGGAGGAGGTGCCATTTCCCAGGAAGAGCCGGCAGATCGCACCGCCCGCTGTGGGTTGAAGAGGAACAGGAGAATGCCAGAATCTGGGCTGAGAGTGGAAAATGGAGTGGATGCACGCCACCCCTGCCCGGCCCCAGCCCCGGCCCTGCCCTCGCCCTCGCCCCTACCTTAACGTCCCAGTTCTGATTCAGGTAATAGATACAGGTGATGCAGCGTCCATCGCCGTGGGGATTGTCAACGTGCCTTACGTACCCGAGCCCGTTGCCTGGGTAACACGCCACCATGGCCTGGCAGGGATGGAGGGAGGTAGGTTTACTGGGGCCAGGCAGGCACTTCTTGGAGAAGCAGCCATGAATTACCTATTTTCCCACCCCTCCTTGCCCACCCCCCCCGCCCCGTCTTCCCCTTGATTCCATGAATATCCTGGGATCCAAGCTCCTGCCCCAAAAGACTTTGTCCTTTTTCAGCCAAAATCCCATCCCCGAGTCCATCAGCAACCTCAGCTCCTGGGCCTCAAGAGCCCACTCCCTCCCACACACATACCTGGGGCCTGGTACCCAGCTAGGGCTCAATGAGTAACAGAGGATTTGATTGTTTAAGATACCCCAAATCCCACCTCAGCCATTTCAGTAGAATAATACCAATTTAAACATTTTTAGAAGTGCAGGGAGGTGGTCTCACAGCCCTAGACCTGGGGTTCTTACCCTTGGCTGTGGAGTGGAACCCCCCGGGGAGCTCTGAGGTTCTAATGTACCCAGCCTAAGGAAAGGCCTGAAATCTGTAAAAGCTCCCAGGTAATTTCTACTATACAGCAATGTTGAGAACTGCTGCCCTGGACTACAAAGAATCCCCACTAAATTATCTGTCCCATATACATCTGAACAGGAACCAAAACCTAGAATCTGAATAGAAAGTGAGATTTAAATCCAACTCCAAGGATAATTTGCTGGGTAGCCCTCGCCAGTTCCACCTGAATGGGCCTCAACTGTCTCGTGTACAAGGCTAATAAACACTTCTCTGTTTACAGCACTAGCAATTCACCCCTCTGAGAACATAACTTTGGAGGTTCTGGACTCCCATCCCCCTGTAGACCTAACAGGACTCATTCCAGGACTTGGTTTCTCTGTCTAACAGGGTTCTTTCCATGCTTCAGCCGGGGCCCCGGGATGTCCGTCATCAGGGAGCTGGCAGAAAGGTGGCTGAGAGGTAAAGGAAACAGCCCAGCCACCTCTGCAGGCCCAATTCCCTGGCTGGAGTCTCAGTGCTGACACATGAGCTGTGACATCAGGCAGGCAACTTCCTGGTCTCAGGTTCCTCATCCATGAAATGCAGCTGACAGCTATGTCACAGGTTGTGTAACAAGCGAACAAGATAACAAGTGTCTGGGAAGACAGCCAGCACAGTGCCTGCCACACGGAGAGCCGGAGCTCGGGCTGAAATGCCATTTGAAAATAAAAAAGGTCCCTGTCCCACCCTCTGCCCAAAGTCACTGCAGTGGCAAGATGAGGTAGTAGACAAAAAGGGGAGGACCAGCACAAGGACCCTTCAGCTTCTCCCCGGCCTGGACCATCTGCCTTGACCTCTCTGCCCCAGTACAACTCTGCCGGCTTCCGCTCCCCACCGATCCTCAGCTACACCTATGGGCCCAGCCCAGCAAGACAGCCCCAAGATAAACATTCGCGATCAAACATCAGTGGCTGCGGCCACAACAGGATGCTTGCCAAGCACGCACGCCACGGCAGGCTGCGCGGCTTCAATCCTCACCGTCCGCAGGATGCCTCCCAGCACATTATCCCAGGGCTAACCCCTCTGTGGGTGCTAAGCTGCTCTGCATTAACTATGTGCACCTGATCCACCACAGACTCTGCCCTGGAAAGAGAGGGCTGCCACAGTCTATGGCCACCTAGCAGGGGAAAGCCAACAACCTTCTCTCTGGCAGCACCAGAGTCCAATTAGTGACCAGGCCGCCAGGGAAAACCCTAGCTGCTGCACCCCAAGGATGAGGAGGGGGCACCTTCTCTGCACTGCTCACTCCCTGCAGATGGGTCAGCGCTCTGTGCAACCACGTCACTGGGAGAGGAGAACGTGGCCATGGCCCAGGAGGCTCGGAAGCAGTGAGATGCTGACTAGAGATGGGCAAGGCCTCCCCAGTTAGGAAGCCAATCAGAGATCATGCTGATGATGCATGTGAATGGGTGAGGGGAAGGGGCCGAGTGCTGCACCCTCCTCCTGCCACAATTCATCCCCACACGGCAGCCAGAGCCCCTGTCTCCAGGTCTTCACTGCATCCTGAGAAAATACAAATTCCCAGCCACAGCCACCAAGGCCCCCAACCTCATGTGCCACTCCCATCACTCTGGGCCACGCCTCAACAGGCTGAGCTCATCACCCCCACAAGGCCTCTGCACTGGCCTGGGACACTCTTCCTTCTGGCCCTCCTTTTTGTTCAGGACTCAGAGGTCAAGGGTCACCTTGAGTACTCCAGCTGATTAGCAACATGGCATCAGCAGAGGTACCTGTTTACCTAGTACTGGCCTGGAAAGCAGCCACAGGGAAGCCCCTGGGGCCAGGTGGGTATCCCCAGTGCACAGTGCAGTACCTGCTGACCGAGCGTACGGCTCTGGGCCTCCTCTGCACCCCAGCCCTGCTGTGTTCCCTCCTGCCCTGTCCATTCTCACACAGGACCTCCCACCAAGCACACAGGACTCACGCAGAAACAGGAACCTGCTCCTTTAGGGCCCCACCCTTCCCCCACATATACACACCTTGAGGGTGAAAGCATCCTCTGGCCCCAAGAAAGCATCTACTTCCTGCCCTCATAAGGGAAAGCCTCAGGAGACTTTCTCTCCATCCATCCCACCTAGGGGAGGGGCAGATGGGACCAGAGCCAGGAGACTAAAGACTTAAAGGCTATTGGTGACAATGTGTCTGCCAAAAGCCCCATCATCACTACACACATATGCCAGTCAGAAGCCTGTGACTGAACCAATGACAGCTGGTCCCACCTCCAAGCTGCTCTTCAAGGAGCAAACCAAGCAAGCTGGATCCTCCCTGGGGTCCTCTCTGGTACCCCTTACTGCTAGTGGGAGTCAACCCTCTCCCACCTACAGGTCAACTGAGCACCTGTCCCCAACCAGGGAGTTAGGGGAAGTTAGGACACAGGAGCTCCACTCAGAATGACTGAGAAGCAGGTTGCCACTGGCTCTGGCCCCACTGGTGACCCATGTTCCCATGGCAACTGCTGCGACGCACCTCAGCACCCCACGGCCTTGCTCCACGGTCCGTGAGAGTGTCCAGATGGAGCCCTCTAAAATCGGGAAAGCCTGGAGTTGCTGTCTCCCTGGGGAGGGGAGGACTCCTCCCCTACGTTCCCAGTCCAGCCTGGCCTGTCCTTACCTCCCTAGGGCAATTAGGGTCCCTTAGGGCTACAAAAGTCCCAACCCCACTCCCCGTTCCCAGTCCTCACAAGGGTCCTGTCCCCAGCCACGTGAAAGGTGGGCATCAGAGGCACCAAAAGACAAGAGATCTTCTCCCCTCCTCAAACTGGCACAGACATGCTGGGGAGGTAACCTGGTTTTCCTGTTCCGTGGATAAGCAAACTGAGGGTCAGAGTAGTGTCCCATCTGGGCCACTCAGCCCTTGTGGTCTGCCCCCAGCGAGGACGGCCAACCTGGGGTGAAGATGCTGAGCCAGGGAGGCCACTGATCCCGCTGGCACAGGAGCCAAGCCCAGGGAGGGGCTGGCTCTGGCTCAGCTATCAAGTAACAGGAGGGAGAGGGAAGTAGAACAAGTTCCAGCTGGGGTGGGGAGGAAACAGTCCTTGGCCCCAGGGAAGCCCTGGTCCCTGAGCCAGCTCCAGCCTGAGAGGAAAGCCACACAGAGGCAGAACCCAAGATGGGATCTGTAGGAGAAGGAAGGGGACATCAGGAGCTCAGCCTCACGCCTGCAGGGCACAACACAGCCCGTGCCATCAGCCAGCTGTGCTGAGCAGCAGGCACTCCCCACGGGCCCTTGTCCAAAGGACACCAAGCCTTGGACTCAAGGCCAGGGCCCCTACACTGCCCATGAAGAGAATCATTGTGTCAGCAGGCCGGAAAGGCACTGTGGACCACTTCCTGTGTTGGGCTCCTGACCCCACGTTCCTGAACAGGTAGCTGCAGGCCATGAGGCCTCGACAGCTGTCCATAAACTCCAAGCAAATGAGCATTTGGCTTAAGAGAGGATCTGTGGCCTCTGACAGTGTCTCCAAAAGACCCAGGCTCCAAAATACAATTTAGAACTATTGTTTGAAAGCAAAAAGAAAAAGGGACTAAGAACGAACAAATTAAGGCAGAGAGAAGAGAGCAGAGTTGGTCAGGGAAGAAGTGATACACAGGACGGGGGAATGGAAGGCAGGGACTCGGACAGGGACTGGTGGGAAAGATGGGGACGAGAGCTCCACCCAGGCCAGCAGGCAGCCACCCAGTGCCACCCCCGGGAGGCTGTCCTGGATGCAGACGCCACAGTGGGGACCCAGGGTACAATGCAGTCCAGGCCCAGGCACTCAGCCCAGCACCCCTTCCCTTACCTCAGCCCAGGGCTCATTCCTCACAGCCACCTCCCCCTTCTGCTTCTCCTGCCTGGGAGACAGGATGGACGCCCAAGGGACACGGGCCAGCAGACAGAGAAGGACGGATGCAGAAGCACAGGGAAGGGCTGACACCAACAGAGGGCGGACAGGTTAACTGTGTGCCTGTCTACATCACCGTTCTTGGTCGGGGGCCTCAAACAGACACCAGGAGGCCGTAAACCCCACTATGGCCCATGCTGTGAATGTCAGCAGCTCTCATGAGGTTCTTCAAGAGGGTTCCTGGCAAAGTCAAGAACCACTGTGGCTCCAGGCCAAAACTCCTGGCTTACAGGTGCACACGTTAAGGCCCATAGGGAGGACAAAGACACCACCCCCAACAAGTCCCCACAAGTGAGAGTACCCCCTCCACCGACCAGCCTAAAGCCTTCTGTGACTTCCCAGAAGCCTGTGTCCAAATCCATTGTGCTCAGAGCACTGGACACCACACCGGGGTGCTGCAAAGCCCCTGCACAGAGGCCCCCACCTAGCCTTACCTTGGTGCGCCCGTTGATGACGTAGCTGCCCAGCCGCCCTGCGCAGTGGCGGATGACGGCGTCCACATGGGCCATGAGGGCACCAATGCTTCGGCAGCCTGGCTCATGGCCTTCCACCCAGGCAATCTGGTCCCCACGGATGCTGCGCGGCGGGATCGCCCGCTGGCTGACCAGCTGCCCATCTCGAAGGCGCCCACCCCGTTTGAGGGCCTCCACCTCGGCCAGCACGCGGCCACCCAGTGCTGCCCCCAGGAAGCTGTCCTTGACACAGATGCCGTAGTACCGCATGCAGGGCACGATATAGTCCAGGGCCAGGCGCTCAGGCGCAGAGGGCAGCACCTCCTCCACCAGCCCAGCGCGGGCCTCACCACTGCCACTGCTGCAGCCGCAGCTCTTACCACCCTCCTGCTGCTCTGCCTCCTGGTTCTCTTGCCTGGCCCAGGGCCGCTTGCTGGATGAAGGGGCATCCCCACCATCCTCGGCCCATTTCCGTTTGGGGGCCTCAGGCCGGGCACCCTGGGCTGCCAGTCGCTGGCACCCCTTGGTGACCAGCGCTGCGGCACCTTCACTCTGCAGCGGCCGCAGCTCACCACCATCCTGCCCACCAAAGCCCTCCCGAAGGGGGCTGGCAGTGGTAGAGGTGGCTGTGGCTCTGGGGGTCCCACTCCCTGCCGAGGCCTCACTGGGCACTCCTGGACAGTGGTAGGAGGGGAGCAAAGGACAGGGCAGGTAACTCTCCACCCCCATCCTGGCCCGGCCAGGCTCCAAGGGCTCTGACGAAGACCCCGGTAACTGAGGGAGAGCCTGACTTAGGGGCTGTGGCTGGCACGGGCTGTCCATGGCAGCAATGTCTTCATCCCCCGGGCATGGAGGGCACCGCCCGGGCCCATGGTGCCACCCTCCTCCGCCTACACTTGATGCAGCTGGGGGCCACCGGGCCTGGCGTGAGGCAGGGTGAGGCAGGGCAAACAGCGAGAGCTCTTCTAGTGCCCCGGGGATTGCTTGCAGGTCCCCAAGTCCTCCGCCGTCCCTAAGGGCTTGGGAAGGGACCCTTCAGGGTGGCTAGAGAAAGGAAAAAAGAGGGATGTGAGAGGAGCTAGAGACGGGCAGGCAGGGGAAAGGGGTAATGGTATGGGCAGCAGCGGGGAAGACAACCAGTACAGACTTGGCTATAGAGACTCCCCAAAACCTGAGGCCAAGTCTGGGAGAGGACCCTGACAATCTGGGGGTGCGGGAGTCTGCTGACAGTTAAGGGCAGTGATGCGGAGAGGCTGGAGGCCAGAGGCTGGGTAGATGACCCCAAGACAGAGGATTGTGGGGCAGGTTGTGGGATGCAGTAACCACACGCAGGGGAGTAGAAAAGGGTGGTGTGGAGAGGTGGGGAAGAGGGGGTTTGCGAAATACGAGGGATCTGCCTTGGCGTTCCAGAGAGACAGAGAAATGTGGGGGATCCAGAGACAGAATTGGGGGTGGCGGGGTCAACGGAGGAAACTGGGGAGTCCAGGGACAAAGGGACCCAGGGACCGAAAAACAGACCGGAGGGAAGCTGGAAGGAAGGGCCCGGGACGGAGCGGGGCGGTGGGGTCGACCCGAGCCCGACGGGAGGAAGCCGGCCGGGGGCGGACACACATCCAGACGGAAGGGAGGTCCCAAGACCGACCGACGGGAGGGGCCCTCGGGGAGAGGGTCCGCGGCGACAGAGGGAAAACCGAAGGAGGGTGCACGCACCCCGAGACAGGACGAGGGAAAAAGTCACCCCCCTCCGGGTACCCCCACGCCCCCCACCCGGGACCGGCCCTGAGACCCCTTCTGAGCGCTGTAGGCGACCAGGGCAGGGCCTAGGGACGGCTCGGACCCCCTCCCCTCCCCCTCCCCTCGGCCTAAGCCCAGCTCGCGCTCCCCGCCCCCGCCCCCGCCCCACCCCCCAACCGCCCGCACCCAACATCCCCGGCGCGCGTCCCCTCCCCCGCGCCGCACCCCCCATCCCTCTCCCAGGGGTAGCACCCGCGGGCCCCGGAGCGCGCCCCCACGCCTCGCCCGGCTCGCGCCGGCGCCCCAGCTCCGACTCTATCTCCTCCCCGCTCCCTTCTCGTCCCGCAACCTCCTCACCGAGGTTTTTCCTCCGGCCCCGGCGCCGCCGTTTGTGCCAGCCGCCCTGCGCCGCACAGCGCGCCATGCCCCGCCCCCACCGCGCGCGACGCCCCGCCCCGCCTCGCCCGGTGGGCACGTGACCGCGCCCCGCGGAGGGGACAGCGCCTGCGCAGGCCCGAGCCACGCGGGGCGGGGCGAGGAGGTTCGGGACCACCCCCCAACACCCGGGCGAAAGGAAACTGGGGTCCTTGGCCGACACGAGGTTCATTTGCATCCTCCGCCCCGCCCCCTTCGAGCGGGTGGGGGAACGCAGTGAGAGGGCCCGGGTGTGGGAGGGGGCGTTTCTTGCTAGTTGGAATCTAGCGGCGTCGGCGGGGCGGGGCACGCAAATGATGTGATTTACATGGAGAGGCCCACTCCCCCTCCCCCTGCACGGAGCACCGGGTCCGGGAGCGCGATGCGCGTGACTTCATTTACATGGTCAGCCCCTCCTCCTCGCTGCCCAGGAACGGGAGTGAGAGAAGGAGAAATGGCTGCGCAGTTAGTTGGGAAACGTATGTAAATTCGCACGTCAGTAAATAATTTACAGAAGTATCTTTTATAAGTGCCGGACGCCCTTGAGAGAAGGGAACGCGGACTAGAATGGATGTGCAAATGTGTATTTTAAAGACACGCTCCGCCCTGCCCCGTGGGAATCAGAATAAAGAACCAGGGAAAGCCTGGGCAACAGAGCGACACCTCATCTTTACACAAAATTTTTAAATGAAAACAAAAAAACCCACGGAAAGCTACACGTAGAAGGCATTTGCATGACCAGCTGGGAACATTTTGGGGGAATACGGAGAGACGGTCATTTTGAATACGCTGCCCCCACCACCATCGCTCTGGAGAGTTGGGACTCAAGGCTCCCGGCGCCGGTGAAGGGGATCGTAAGGGTGGGAGAGCAACGAGCAACTGGGAGTGTCCTCAAAGGGCTGCACCAGTCCCCAGCAGGCCACCTGAGTGGGTAGGGAACGGTGCGTGAGCACAAGGACTTGCATACTGGTATCCACACATGCATGACGATTGCACAGAAGCCCGCAGTCCTGAGGGCACACACAGGGTTCATGGCCACACAAGGGTGTTTCTTGTTTAGTTTTTAAATGGGGTCTTACCCTTTTGCCCAGGCTGGAGTGCCGTGGCACAATCACGGTTCACTACAACCTCAACCTCCCAACTAAAGTGATCCTCACACCTCAGCCTCCCGAGTAGCTGGGACTTCAGGTGTGTACCACCACGCCTGGCTAACTTTTGTTTTTTTCTTTTTGAGACAGTCTTGTTCTGGCGCCAGGGTGGAGTGCAGTGTCGCAATCTTGGCTCACCTACAACCTATGCCTCCCGGGTTCAAGTGATTCTTCTGCCTCAGTCTCCTGAGTAGCTGGGACTACAGGTACGCGCCACCACGCCCAGCTAACTGTTTTCCATTTTCAGTAGAGGCGGGGTTTCACCATGTTGGCCAGGATGTCTGGATCCCCTGACCTCGTGATCCGCCCGCCTTGGCCTCCCAAAGTGCTGGGATTACAGGCCTGAGCCACCACTCCTGGCCACACATGGGTGTTTAAAAGGAGCCAAATTCACACCAAAACACACACAGTTCTCAAGGGCACACATGCACAGGCACACACACAGTAGTGAGTCACTGCCTACGACTTTCAGTCATGAGACATAAAGACTAGAGGCACACCTATAGGCCCAAATTCCCATCACCTGGCCTTGATGTCCCAAACAATACCAGCCTCACCAATGCAGTCACTGAGGCCACAGAGCACAGCTATCTGCACCGCACACAACCAGCACACATTCCTGCAGACATCATCCCATACACAGGTTACTGGAAACATGTATGCATGTCACAAACACATGGATATCGGCGTGTTGACACACTTCAGCCTGGAACACAGATTGTCACACACTGTCCACTGAGTAACAAATTCCCTCCCTCTGCAACAGGCACCTGAGTCATCATGCTTGGTATACCCCTTACTATATCCAATCCAGAAACAAGGCCCCCAAACACCATGACCCATGAGTCTTCTGTCAGGGACCTCTTCCATCTCCCTGCCATCCAGGAATAACGGAGGCCAAGACACAGGTGTAAACAATGCTTTATGGGAGTAGGGTGGTGCTGGACAGGCCTCCAGGTAATAAATAACAGGTACTAGCAACAGCGGGGCCAGGCAGGCAGTTGGGGACAAATGACCCTGGTCTCAGGCTTTGGGAGCTCTTGGGGTATGGTTAGGGGTTCAGGGGGACAGAGGTTAGCCAAGACAGAGGAAGCAGCAGCAGGTAGGGGTTCCCCCTTCCCCCGTGGCTCAGTCTTGCCCCAAAGCCAGGCCCCACCAGGCCAGGGAAGGCGGACAGGTGGTGGCGCAGCTCCTCTGGGGCCACGGCAGGTTGGGACATGGCCTCTCAGAGCCTGGGCCTGGCCCCCGGCCGGAAGGGCAGGGCTGGTCCTGGAGAACAGGTGAGCTGAAAGAGAAGGGTGTGGTGACCTGCAGGGTCCTGAGGTCTGTCCAGCTTGTCTCTGTCTCATTTCCAGGTATTTCCCTGCCTATCTGTATTGGTCTGTTCATACCTTTCTTCTCGTCTGATTTTCTCTCTCCTGCAGGTAAGTTGGGGCTTACGCTGAGGGTACCTGCATCTCCCTGTTTGTTTGCCTCAGAGAGCTGAGTCTGTAAAGCCAGATTTCAACATCTAATAAAAAAACATGTATCTGGGGTGGATCACGAGGCGGGTGGATCACGAGGTCAAGAGATCGAGACCATCCTGGTCAACATGGTGAAACCCCGTCTCTACTAAAACTACAAAACATTAGCTGGGCATGGTGGCGCGTGCCTGTAATCCCAGCTACTCAGGAGGCTGAGGCAGGAGAATTGTCTGAACCCAGGAGGCGGAGGTTGCGGTGAGCCGAGATTGCGCCATTGCACTCCAGCCTGGGTAACAAGAGCGAAACTCCGTCTCAAAAAAAAAAAAAAAAAATGTATCTGGCTAGACGCAATGGCTCATGCCTGTAATCCCAGCACTGTGGAAAGCCAAGGAGAGAGGATCACTTGAGCCCAGGAGTTTGAGACCAGCCATAGGCAACACCACAAAACCCTGTTTCTACAAAAAAAAAATACAAACATTAGCCAGGCATAGTGGCATGCGTCAGTGGTCCCAGCTACCTGGGGGGCTGAGGTGGGAAGATCGCTTGAGCCTGAGAGGTGGAGGTTGCAGTGAGCTCGTGCCACTGCACTCCAGCCTAGGCAACAGAGTGAGACTCTGTTTCAAAAAAATAAAAATATAATGAACCTGCCTTTGTATCTCTCTTTGTCACTCTATGCTCCTGAATCACCCTGATTCTTTTTTTTTTTTTTTTAAATAGAGACCGGGTTTCACCATATTGGCCAGGCTGGTCTCAAACTCCTGATCTTGTGATCCACCAGCCTCCACCTCCCAAAGTACTGGGATTAAAACTTTGAGATGCTGAGGTAGAGGACTGCTTGAGGCCAGGAGTTTAAGACCAACCTGGCTAACACAGTGAGACCCTATCTCAAATTTAAAAAAAAGGGGGGTGGGGGAAAGAGGCCAGGTATGGTGGCTCCCACCCGTAATCTCTGCACTTTGGGAGGCTGAGGTGGGTGGATCGTTTGAGCTCAGGAGTTCGAGACCAGCCTGAGAAACATGGTGAAATCCCATCTCTTCAAAAAATAAAAACATAAAAATTAGCCAGGCGTGGTGGTGCACACCTATAGTCCCAGTTACTTGGGGAGCTGAGGTGGGAGGATCACTTGAGCCCAGGAGGTCAAGGATGCAGTGAGCTGAGATGGTGCCACTGCACTCCAGCCTGGGTGACAAAGTGAGACACTTCTCAAAAAAAAGAAAAAGGAAAAGAATGTTATATTGACCAACAGAAACAGAAAACAAATTGGTAGTTGCCAGGGGCTGGGGGAAGTGGATAGTGACTGTTTAATGGGCATGGGGTTTCCTTTAGGGTAATGAAAACGTTTTGAGGCTGGATGGGTAGCTCACACCTGTAATCCCAGCACTTTTGGAGGCCAAGGCAGGCAGATCACCTGAGGTTGGGAGTTCAAGCCCAGCCTGATCAACATGGAGAAACCCCGTCTCTAGTAAAAATACAAAAATTACTGGGGCATGGTGGCACACGCCTGTAATTCCAGCTACTCCAGAGGCTGAGGCAGGAGAATCGCTTGAACCCAGGAGGCAGAGGCTGCAGTGAGCCAAGATCACGTGATTGCACTCCAGCCTGGGTGACACAGTGAGACTCCGTCTCAAAAAAAAAAAAAAAGAAAAGAAAAGAAAAGAAAACGTCTGAAACCAATGCAGAGGTGGTGGTTGCACAACCCTGTGAATGCACTGAATTCCACTGAATTGTACACTTTGAAAAGTTACGTCAATTTATGTTACGTGACTCTCACTTCAGTGACAAAAAACGAAACAATACTGGTGGTAGGAAAATGTGTGTTTGAGTTTTATAGATGGGTGGGATCTGCTACAGTCAGTCCTAGATCAACATGTAAAATATATTTCCTCCTGCAGATTGCAATCAACAAAGTATGAAAAAGCCTTGCCTTGTTACATTTGACCTACTGAGGGCAAGCTCTAGGAAAGAATCTCTGCTAAGCCCTGAGGCAAAGACGACACACCATTCATTTGAGCTCAGCCCAAAGATGGATAAGAAGAAAACTTCAGCCGGGCGTGGCGGCTCACGCCTATAATCCCAGCACTTTGGAAAGCCAAGTCAGGTGGATCACCTGAGGTCAGGAGTTCCAGACCAAAGCCTGGCCAACATGGAGAAACCCTATCTCTATTAAAAATACAAAAAATAGCCAGGTGTGGTAGCAGGCACCTGTAATCTCAGCTACTCAGGAGGCTGAGTCAGGAAAATCACTTGAACCCCGGAGGCAGAGGTTGCAGTGAGCTGAGACTGCACCATTGCACTCTAGCCTGGGAGACAAGAGCAAGACTTTGTCTCAAAACAACAACAACAACAACAACAAAAAGCAGCCTTCAATGATCAAGTCTTGACCATCAGGCCCCATTCTGAGCACTCTGCATGAACTGACTTATTTCATCTTCTCGCCACCTATAGAAGTAGGTGCCATTATTAGCCTCATTTTACAGATGAGCCCAAACTGAGGCCTGGGCACAGCAGGTGCAAAGTCTTGGGAGGACAAGAAAGCACTGTCCAAAGACATCATCCTTGACTCCTCTCTCTCTCAGACTCCACATCCATTCCATCAGGAAATCATGTGGGCTCTGCCTTCCAAGTAGATCCAAAGTCTAACCCCTGTTCCCCACAGCCCCCCTGGAAATGCCAAGGGCTGGGAGGGGATTGAGCATGAAGTATAGAGGGGAGAACTGGCAAGACATACACATGCCCCAGAGAGGTGGGGATGGGACCAAATCCTGCAGGGTTTTGAAAACCCGTCAAGAAGTTTGGGGCCAGGTACGGTGGCTCATGCGCTTTGCGAGGCGGAGGCAGATGGGTCACTTAAGGCCAGGAGTTTGTGAACAGCTGGCCAACATGGTGAAACCCTGTCTCTACTAAAAATACGAAAAGTTAGTCAGGCGTTGGTGGCCCATGCCTATGGTCCCAGTTACTTAGGAAGCTGAGGCACCAGAATCGCTGGAACCCAGAAGCGGAGGTTGCAGTGAGCCGAGATCGCACCACTGCCCTCCAGCCTAGGTGACAGAATGAGACTCTATCTCAAAAAAAAAGAAGTTTGGACCAAGCATGGAGGCACAAGTAGTGCTTCCTGGAGGAGGGAAGGAGGTTGCCAGGGAGAAAGGGGAGGAATGGTGTTCCAGGGAGAGGCCCAGCATGAGCAAGGGCCCAGGGGAATGGGAAGAACTCCAGTGCGACTGGAATGGCCTGAGACGTAGGGAGCTGTACAAGGGGCTGAGGTGGTGAGGCTGGGCTGGCAGGGGCCAGTCCCTGCAGAGAGTCCAACACCAGGCTGAGGAGCTTCAGCTGTGTCCTGGGACCCGGAGAGCCATGGAAGGTTCTGAACAAGGGAGCGACAGGAGTGGACGTGTGTTAGAAAGATCCAGTGGTCGCATCAACAGAGACAGGATTGGCCGGGGGCGGTGGCTTAGGCCTGTGATCCCAGCACTTTGGGAGGCCAAGGCGGGTGGATCTCCTGAGGTTAGGAGTTTGAGACCAGCCTGGCCAACATGGCGAAACCCCACCTCTACTAAAAATACAAAAATTAGCCAGGAGTGGTTGTGCATACCTATAATCCCAGCTACTTGGGAGGCAGAGGCAGAGGAATCGCTTGAGCCTGGGAGGCAGAGGTCACAGTGAGCTGAGATGGCACCACTACACTCCAGCCTGGGCGACAGAGTGAAATTCTGTCTCAAAAAAAAAAAGAAGAAAGGGCCAAAAAAAAAGAAAAGAAGGGCCAAGACCGGAAGTCAGAGCGTCTAGGGAGGACACGGACCCTATTCCCATCTCGGCCACTCCTCTGCCTGCCCCCTCGTCCTGTCCTCCACCGTCTCTCCCCTGGCCTATGTAGCTTCCTCTCTGGTGTCCTGGTGACCCCCTCTCTTCCTCACAGCCTCTTCCTTTTATGCAGCCAGAGGGACCCTGTGAACCTCTGAATCGGGTCCTGTCCCTCCTCTGTTCAGAAGCCTCCCGTGGCTTCCACACAGGGTGTAAGCCAGAGGCCTCCCCAGGGTCCACAGGCCCTAACTGATCTGCTTCCTCCAATCCCTGACCCCATCTCATGCTGTATCCCCAAAACACACACAGGTTCTCCATGACGACCACGCTGGCTGCTTCGATCACCCTCACCCACGCCAGGCATGCCCCTCGCTCAGGCGTTGCACTTACTGAGCTCTCTGCCTGCAATGCTCTGCCCCATATCCCCATAGGCCTCCCTGTCTTCCCTCCTTTACTCAAATGCCATCTTCTCAGTGAGGCTTCCCTCATCATCTTGTTTAAAGTACACTCTTGGCCAGGCACAGTGGCTCACGCCTGTAATCCCAGCACTTTGGGAGGCCGAGGTGGGTGGATCACCTGAGGTCAGGAGTTTGAGACCAGCCTGGCCAACATGCTGAAACCCTGTCTCTACTAAAAATGCAAAAATTAGCTGGGTGTGGCGGCAGGCACCTGTAATCCCAGCTACTCAGGAGGCTGAGGCTGGAGAATCACTTGAATCCGAGAGACGGAGGTTGCCATGAGCAGAGATCATACCATAGCACTCCAGCCTGGGCGACAGAGCAGTACCCCATCTCAAAGAAAAAAGAATGGCCAGGCATGGTGGCTCACGCCTGTAATCTTAGCACTTTGGGAGGCCGAGGTGGGTGGATCACCTGAGATTAGTTCAAGACCAGCCTGGCCAACATGGTAAAACCCCATCTCTACTAGAAATATAAAATATTAGCCGGGCCTGGTGGTGGGCATCTGTTAATCCCAGCTACTTGGGAGGCTGAGGCAGGAGAATCACTTGAACCCAGGAGGTGGAGGTTGCAGTGAACCGAGATTGTGCCACTGCACTCCAGCCTGGGCAAGAAGAGTGAAACTCTGTCTCAAAAAAATAAAAATAAAAATAAAAATAAAACTTGGGCCAGGCGTGGTGGCTCACACCTGTAATCCTAGCACTTTGGGAGGCCGAGGTGGGTGGATCACCTGAGGTCAGGAGTTCAAGACCAGCCTGGCCATCAGGGTGAAAACCCCATCTTAAAAACAACAACAGGCCGGGGCTCAGTGGCTCAAGCCTGTAATCCCAGCACTTTGGGAGGCCGAGGCGGGTGGATCACGAGGTCAAGAGATCGAGACCATCC